TTTCTTTCTTTCTTTCTTTCTTTCTTTCTTTCTTTCTTTCTTTCTTTCTTTCTTTCTTTCTTTCTTTCTTTCTTTCTTTCTCCGGCTCTCTGGTTGATTTATTGTATGGTTTCTTTGGCAATGCCTTTTCTCAATAAGCATATATCATGCAGCCTATCTTCCTACCCAGGATCTGCCCCTGCATCACAGCCTGTAAGGAAGGTTTTTATGGAAGTTTGTAGGATAGAGAGTTTTGTTCAAGGCTAATTGTTTCTTTTCTGTGAGATGTTGTTTTATACTCATTGGCTACAGTTTTTCTTGGTTTTTTTCAGTATTTATTATTGAGTGAATATTTATTGCATCTTAACAATGCAATTTTTATAATAGTCTACTGGCATGAAATTACAAGGTCTTTGGAGTGATTTAATTTTTTTATCTCGCCCCTTATTCATTGGTAATATTGCTATAAATTTATAATATTGCTGTGTATAAAATCCCCAGTAGTTTTTCCCCATTAATTTTGAACCCATGTGTAAATAAGTACAAACAATTGAGGAAACTATTGTAAGAGCATAGGGAAGCATAGAGCATTTGCAGCATCCTATTTGTATGAATCGAGGGAGGGTTTTTTTTACTATAAAAACAAATAAAAATAAAAATAAATAAGGCACTGGAAATGAGAAATGGATGTCTTGAAAATGAAACATGGTTTTCAGGAAATATGAAAAAGTTAACAAGTTTTCCATTAAATGATATAGCTTTTAGTAAAGGGAATGTTATGAAGGAAAGGGTTTTGTTTTATTAAAATCACTAGTTTCTATTATTGTTTTAGTTAATATATAAATTAAAATTTCATTATCAAAGTGATACATCTGTTATCTAGCTTATAAATTCATTTGTCATTTAAGGGGTTGTGATAACACAGAATCGGAGAACCCCTTGTACATTATGAAAATTTCAGAGTTATATATAACACATACTGCATATAATGCAATACTTTGGAATGTGTATGCATGCACACAATTATAGCATATATTTGATTTTAAAAATATAAAGTCCATATTTAATGTTGAAACTACAAACATAAAATTCCTGATTGTTGCAGCCTTTTTGTCATCAGGAGCAAATGATTTATCAAACAGATTGTAAACTGTTTTGCTATGTAATTTAACCTAATGCCATTTCTTGGCAAAAAAATAAATTTAATTTTTCACAGTTTTAAAGGAATGATCTTAGAAAATAGTTATAATGTCTTTTATTATAAGCAAGTAAGTGATACATAAAAAGGAAACATTGACTGCTATTTCTGTTTTTAAATTCTTCTTGCTTAGATTGGGTGAAAAAAGATTAAAACCTAAGTATCCCTACTAAACTGATTTCCCATGCTGATTACAACAATACTTCAGGGAAGAATTGGTGATACGAGAGCAGCTTTCCCAGCATAGAGGCCAAAAGATTGTCAGTTCAGTAATAATCTTCAGTGACAAGGTTTAAGTAAAAAAAACTTGACCCATGTAGGTCAACTTGAGTCAAAGCTGAAATAACATGGTCTTTTTCTGTTCTACTAGAATTAAAGTGATACTAATATACAGCTTCTCTAAATCCACAAAAAATACGAAGCATATCATTGTACACAACTGCAATAGTTCAGCCAAAAGAAATGAAAAAGAGCATATCATTTATTCAGAATAACCTTGGTGGTGTCTTATCAGAATCCATCAACAAATTAAAAGCAATCAGTCATTGCTCTTTTCATGTTTTCAGGAGTTTGTGCTTTATTCTTAAATCTATGGGTTAATACCAAATGAGCAAAACAAATATTCAAAATTACCACTTTAAAAATAAATGATCTAAGCAATGTGCATTTGAAATTATTTAATTGAAAAGATAAAATATGCAAATTTAGTTTTATTCTAGCTTTGTGTAAAGATAAGTTTCATAGCTTCCACCTTTCATTATTATTTATAGTAATAAAAAAAATGGGTACAAGTCACATTTTTTGAAGCTTGGAAGAGGTATAACATCTAGACACTATAAAGAATCTGGGAACCATAGATGCTTGAAGAAAAAAAAAATTGCTTGTAATAATGGTGGCATAATTTTGCAACAAGATGTGATTTCTTTTAACTGCCCTTGTTTGTTTAGGCCTGCTGTATTTGGGGAAATTCCTTGGATCTTTTTAAAATTAGTTGACATGTTGGCTTTTAAAGGGATGTTGTCTGTTTAAATATTGGTGCACAATCTTTACCCTCAAAAGTTGTACATATCTTGATTATGCCTGTGGAAGTAGCTAAAAGACTAGTAAGCTCTTTCTTATCCATGGTTTGTTTAGAGTAAAATAACCCTTCTTGATTTCTTGTGGTCCTTCAAAACAAGAAATGTAAGTCATAAATAAATGCAGCATGTGGCTCTAGACTATTATGAGAGGAAATCTCAATTCTCATATAGTGATCAGCAGATCAGCAATGGAACTTCTGAAATTTGTACTTTTATCCTTGTAGAATAATATAAATGTGACCAACTAAGCTATCTGTATAACACACATTCACAATCATAATTGTTATATGTGAACTACAGCAATGTTTACTACTATCCTGCAACCATAAGTGTATTATATACACCAACACTGAGATTTAGTCTAGTTTTTACTGAATTGCTGTATAACAAACAAAATTGTTTTGTTGACAACAATTCAGTTGGCAATAATATAAAATCTTTTTAAACGTTCTTCTCTGAAA